CAGAAAATAGATGGGATTTCGCGTTACTAAAAAACAAAAACAAAAAATATATTCTTTCTTTTTTTTTCAAACTTTTTAGCATGTCGCGATCGATTAGTTCGAACACCAACTGTTATTGTATGTAAACATGCTTTCTTTTTTGTTTTTCTATTACAATTTTGTTCATTCTATTCATGTTTAAGGCTATGTGTGGTTTACCAGCACGAGGCAAAGTAAAATATTTTTCGAACAAATCAATAAAAATTTAAATCCATTTTCTTTTAAATAAAGACATACATTTCAAAAAAATTGGCACGTTATTTACAATGGATTGGAATCAAAACAAAAGGTATAAATAGAATTTTCAATTTTACTAATATATATGAAAATTGATTTTTGTTTTTCGAATGTCTATCGAAGTTTTGAAGTATGAGTGTTGAAGTACATATGTACTATTTACTTGATAGTGTACTTTGGACTGTTCATAATGTTACTCAAAAAACAAAAATTAAATAATTTATGGAATGAATAAATGAATATTTATTATGTTTAGCAAGTGATAAAAAAAAAAGAAAATGATAGGAATTCATTTTGATAAAATCATCAGTTAACTAGATATCGTCTTCTATGCAAATAAAGGTCATCATAGCCTTTCCATTTTATTGTTTTGTTTCGTTTTTATGATGTAAATATGTTATTCTATAACATAGATAATGATACAAAATCTTTGTAATAAAAAATTTGAAATCAAAAAAACGAATAGTTTGTATTACATGGTATTGATTTTCACTGAAGAGAAAGTTATGATCATAAAAATCTTTATATGTCATGATAAGTAAGATCTGTAATAAAGCTAATTTGAATGATAACCTGCTGTTGTTCTATATTGATTGTTATTACATAGATATTCAGTTTTTTTTTGAATATTTCCTTTATTCAAACTAAAGAAACTTTATAAAAAAAAATTTTCTTTCGAATTCATGAAATAATATTAATTATTTTTTATTAAGTATGTTCTTATCTGTCGGTAATGGGTGAAAGACAAAAGTGCAAAAAAAAAAAACATAAAAAAGCCTTTATAAAAAAAATTCTTTCAGTAAGCTTCTTGTTTGGTTGCCATAGAGTTACATTAATTAGATAAAAGAAACTTAATTTACTATGAAACTTTACTCTTTGCTCAATGATAAAATCTGCAACCATTCCAGTATTAAATTGAGAATAGAAAGAACTGAATAAAAAAACAAAGGTTATAGTAACACAGAAGTCAATATTGATGATGATAGACTTCTTATTTATGCAGGAGTCATTCTATGATATATATATATATATATATATGGAATGTCATAAGAAGGAGACATTGTATGGGATAACATTAGTACATGTCTAGCCAAAAAAATATGCATCTATAGATTAGATGCATCTGTCTTCTTGCCATTTTGTAGAAAGTGTTTTGTATGAAGATTATATTTATTTCTCTTGAGAAATGTCATCAGTGGCGAAAACAATGGTTGGACGAAGATCCTTAATGTAATTACGCAAGTCTTTGTACCCAACCACTGTTGATAGTACTAACGAACGATCATGATGAGTAGTAAAAAAAATCTATTTTCATTTTTACTTATCGAGTTATGGGTGTTTTACTCAATATTTTGCTCTATGAGCATAGAGTTGTTGAGAACCTGGATGATCAAATTTTGAGCTAAAATTTTGTCTATATTTTTAGGTCTTATCAAAGGGGGAAGAAGCTGATTTCTATACTAGAAATTATTATAATGCTGAAAGGATACGAATCATGGTATGAAGTAAATAAGTTATCGGAACCCATTAGAAATCAATGAAAATCACTCTAAGTCATTAAAAATTTCCAGTAATAAGATTACAAGTAAAGCCTTGATTTCTATTGAGTTTCTTGACTTTCAATAACTGCTAATATTCTTAATGGTTCCTCTTGATTTCTAAGCATTTTTGATGATTCCTATTGATTTGCGGTAAACAAATGAAAACCTATTTCCACCTATAGGAATCACCTGAAATCAAGAAATCAGTTTGCTCTTTTGAAACACAACTCAAACCAGATGTTTCTTTAAAATGTAAATATCTTAGCAAGGATAGGTTCGTTCTAGGTCAACTTTGTGGGTGTTTCTCTATCACAATAAGATCAATCTATGGACAAACTTTCAGCTCGAAATTTGATCATTCAGATTCTCAGCAACTCTATGCTCATAGGGCAAAAGTTGAGTAATACGTTCATCATTCAACAGTGAAAATCAAAACTAAAACAGATTTTTTCTGTTTATTATCCATTACGACCGATCGAATGCTAATAGTTTCAATCAAGTTTCGATTGAACATTTCGGAATGTTCTCTCATCAATGTCATCTTAATAAGTTCTATTGTTTTAGTGTTTAATGTTGGTGAATATCGCCGTGATGCTGTTAAATTCTACGCTGACAAAGATTTTTTTGATCCTGATAATACTGAAGCAGTAGCTGTTCGAAAGTATAAATATATTTTCTTTAAAAAAAAATTAAAAACAAAAAAAGATTAACATTTCTAGTCTTTGTGCGCAACAAGCTCTTGAAGATATGTGTAATTATCTAGCTTATGATGGTGAAGTAGCTATATTTGATGCAACAAATACAACACGTGAACGTCGTCAAAATATTTACGAATATTGTACACAAACATTTTGTTTTCGTGTGTTTTTTGTTGAATCAATATGTGATTCATCAGAAATCATTGAATCGAATATTCGCGTATGTTAGTTTAATGAAAATAGATAAATGTATTTTTTTTTGTTTTCCTTTTTAATATAGGAAGTAAAATCAAAAAGCCCTGATTATAAAGACGTTACAGCAGAAGAGGCTGTTTCGGATTTTCTTTCACGTATTCAACAATATGAAAGACGTTATGAAACAATTAATGATAAATCAGAAAGAAATTATTCATTTATTAAAATATTTAATTGTGGTGAACGTTTTCTTGTGCATAAAATTGGCGGTAATTATTTATTAAAACAAAAACATTTATAGTTAATGTTTATTAAATATCTATATATATATGCTTTTAAGGTCATATGCAAAGTCGTGTTGTATATTTTTTAATGAATATTCATATTTTACCAAGAACGATTTATTTAACACGAGTAAATTTCAATATAAAACAAAAAAAATCAAAAACGTTCATTTGTCTAATTTTGAAATTTCAGCATGGAGAATCAACATTGAATCAACAATATCGTCTTGGTGGTGATCCACCATTATCAACAAATGGAAAATTGGTATGAAGATTTTTATACTCGTAAAAATAGAATAATGAGTTCAACATATTAGTCTTAAAATAATTAAATATAGACAGTTACGATTATGCAAAATTAAATATTAATACTTGCGAATACTCTGAAAATTTATTTGCAGTAACATATATATTTCGTATTGGAGTATTTGTTAATGAAACTATTTCTCTAGAAACTTACTTGTGAATCTATAAAAGAGTGAAGTAAAAATACTTGACTGTTTTAGTAACGTAACTTCGACATGAGCCGTGAAAAAATTGTGATATATTTTATCTTGAGACAGATCTCTTTTTGAAAATCTTGATAGAAAAGTTGAATGGTGTTAGCAATAACTTGATTGATAAGATGAAGTACTCTCATATGAATATTAAAATTTGTAAATTGCTAAATATGACTTGATTTATATACAAAATAATTAAGAATTTTTATTTGATTTTAGTTTGCTGAAGCATTAGCAGAATATATGGCTAATGGTAAATGATTTTAAAAAATTATTTTATTTTTTATTTTATTGAATTATTTTTCATTAAATAACAAAGAAAATATTCCGGATTTAATTGTTTGGACAAGTCAAATGCAACGATGTGTTCAAACAGCAGCTAAAATCAATGCTCCAAAAGAACAATGGAAAGCATTAAATGAAATAAATGCTGTAAAAAAAAAAACATAACAACATTCATGATTAATTTCATAAATGATTTTGATTGTTTTTAATTTTATATAGGGTATATGTGAAGGTTTAACATATATGGAAATGGCTGAACGTTTTTCCGATGAACTTGCTGCTCGTGATCAATCAAAATTTTATTATCGTTATCCAGGAGGAGAAGTACAAGAAAATGCAATCAACAGAAAATAGATATTAATAATTTATTTTTCTAGTCTTATCAAGATCTTGTTGCACGTCTTGAACCAGTTATAATGGAACTAGAACGAGCTGAAAATGTTCTTGTTATTTGTCATCAAGCTGTTGCACGTTGTATACTTGGATATTTTCTTAATAAGGATGCTGGTATATTGAAAATATTACTTTTTTTTTATTCTAAAATAGTAACATCACTCAATCTATGCTTTTGTTATAGATGATCTTCCATATACAGAAGTACCACTACATACAATTATTAAATTAACACCAGTAGCTTATGGTTGTTTAATGGAATGTATACCATTACCAGTTGAAGCTGTTAATACACATCGTAATAAACCAACGGTTAGAGAAAAGAAATAAAAACCGGGAAATTGTTTTTTTTAAATAGATTATTTTTCTCTCATTTAGAATTGCCGACGTAATCGAACAGTACAAGACGCAGTAGATGAGTTCCTCATTGAACGAGATACAAAACCAGTTGCACGAACAAAAAGTGAAATTTTTTATAATAGCAGTGGAACAAAAATTAAAACAACACATATCGATGGAAGTCGTCTTCCACGAAGTGACAGTACGAGTGGTGATCCAGCATTGAATAATATTTGTTCATTAATTCAGGACCTTCATGCAACACATGCAGAATAAAAAACAAAATGATTATCATAATTCTTTTTGTTTATTTTTATTAGTACAAACTATACGTTACCAATTAGTTTGTAAATCTCGTTTGTGTTTTTTTCTCTTTCCTTCTACTTGTATTGTGTTGATTTGTCAAACGAGTCTTTACTGTTTTTCTTTTGATCTGCAAGATAAAGATAAAAAGAAGATAAAGAAATGTTTTAAGTAATCGATTTCTAGATGGATTCAAATAATAAGACATCAATGGAAAATATTAATGAACCAGTTCGAAAACGAATGCGACCAGGTAAGAATATGTTAATAGAGTGTTCAATTCGTTTTCATAATTTTCATTTTAATATAGAAATTTCTGTAAATAAATTAGTAATAAAAGAATTTATTCAAACATTATAACGAAGAATGATTTAATAAAGATAACATTACTTCTCACGAGGGAAGTCTCCTAACTGATTAATTACTTTTTAGCCGGAAGCATGTGCATCGTGTAGACCCTAATGAGTTATGAATATCTCAAAAAGAATTGGCGCCTATAGCTGATTACTGTCAACATATTGCATTTTTATTTTATTTTTCAATACAATACCGTGGCCTCCCTCAGAAACACCAGAAAAACTGATTTTCGAATTTCAACTTGAAACTTTGCATAGAAATAAGCTATAGACTCGAATTCTTTTCGAAGTGTTCATAATTCATTAAGGCCTACATGATGCATATAGTCCCAATTTAACAGTAATTAACCACTTAGGAGACTTTCCTCGTTAGATCCTGTGAGATGAGTAGAACATTATTCTTCCGTATTGATATTGAAAATTGTATATCATAAACTTAGTTTATGCTGTCATCTATTGAATCGAGAATTTCACATTTATCATCTTCGCATTATAATGACTATTTGAGTGATAGCTTTGCTTTTCTTTTTTCTTCCATATTAGATGTATAACATGTATGATGGAATTTAGATAAATTTCTATTTTGCTTCATCTTTCACGTATGATATTTTATTGTAATATTAGAAATAAAAATTGTCTTTTAATCATTTGTGCTAAACTTTGAACAATTCAATTCATGAAATCATTTTGTACGTTCTATCAATGATAAAAAGAATTTTATTATCATCATGAAAATAATATATGTCAAGTGACTGATATATAATGAATCCATCAGATCTGATTGCTTTTTCAGAAGGTGCACCATCAAATTCTCGATGGAAACTTAATTCAATTTATTTCTGTAGAAATGTAAGGAGAGAAATCAAACGAAGAATACTCAACTCGTATAAGCGGACCAATATTCTAAACAACTCTATAGACAACGAAATAAAAATGCATTCAATCAATTAAAAATTTTTTCCAATTTAGATCCTTCATCAGACAATAATCCTGAAGAATCCGTTGGCATAACTCAATTCTTATCGAATCATGATGGTTTTGATGGTATAATTAAATATCGGTATGATTTTTTTTCCTAGAAATATTTACTTCTATGTTTTATAATAAATAGTTATTCAGATTTTCTTGTCAATGAAATTTCATCTGATGGTTCAATTATTCATTTAACTGATTTATCATGTCCAAATTTTGATCAAAATAAGTCGAATTCATTAACAGTTAATATTATAAAAAAAAGAAAAGAAAAAAAACCATTAGTTTCCTATAAATTTTCTATTTAAATATTTTTTAGAATGTTCCACTTAGTGAAGAAATTATTGATCGTTTAAAAACCTTATCACAAACACATGATAAAGATTTAATTTCAATTCCTGCTAGTAAGAAAAAATAAAATAAGACAAATAGAACTAAAAATCTTTTTTTTTGTTTCAGATGATTTAACAAAAGAACAACGTACATCAATTCATCATTTTGTTCGTTCAATTGATATTAATCTTAAAAGTGAATTAATCAATGGTTCTATTCAAATAACATATCAACGTGAGTGAGTGATTTTATTCAATACTTAAATATTAGTTTTTGTTTTTTTGATTTCTTTTCTCAGCTATTGCTAATCAAACACGTCGTTCAACAGAGCAATGGCCAGACAAAACGAAACCATATTTAAAATTTGTTCTATATAAAGAAAATCGAGATACAATGGATACTATTCAATCAATAGGAGCACTTTTAAAGTAAAGAAAATCTTCTCTCTTTTTTTTTGTTTTTTGGAAACGTTTCACTCGACTAGAGTATCTGCTGAAGATAAATTTCAGAAAGAAATAATTATTTAAATTATAACAAAAACAATCAATTGAAATTAACAGGATTATTTTAAGTTTTTTTTGCAAGAGACATTTCAATCCATTTTCCTGTATTGCTATTAACTCATAAGGATCATGATCATTCAAATATTAACAATGATTTTGTGATTTCTAATAAATCATGGATTGTAGAATATTGTATTTAACTTCTCTTTTTTCTCGTACTTATTTCGACAGCAAATGAATGAGATGTAGAAATCAGATTTGTTTAAATATTTCAATATTGCAATAGTAAGATAAATCGAAAAGAATATATGGAAAGAAAGAAATTATAATTGTCACTCTCAATGACCGTAAATACATGTGTTTGCAACAGAAACTATCCTGAACTTTAAAAAAATCCTCTCTAATACACTATGGCTGTCGTGAGATTCGAATGAATCCGGTCTCTGAATTTTTTCATTTGAAATCAATTTGTGAGTCTCATTCATGAATGACATACTAATAATTGGAAAAGAAAAATGATTCCAATAGACAAAAACAACCGTTAGAAAACTGCGGGTCCAGATTCGAGCTTTTCCCCACCAGTATCTCGCACCCTTTGCGTATATGAATAAGTGAAGGATCAAGTTTTAGCTATTTCTTGGCTCCTCTAAGAAAAAAAGCCAACGTACATTTATTTATTGTTGTGCATTGTGCGATCACTCGATGATGCTTAATAAATTAAAAGTTTTTGCTTACTTGAAAAGAGTATTACATTAACGAAAAAGAAAATTGAACAACTAATTGATAAACAAAATTCGCCAAACCAACAGTAACACCAAAATCGTCAGCTCTATAGAATAATTTTAGTTGTATTTATGTAAACGAGCTCATACAAATAGGGACGGACTGAGAAATTAAAAAAAAGATACCAGATAGTTTATATAAGTTCTATCATAGCTATAAAATAATCGTTCATAGTTATTTAACTCTCGAATGATAGATAGACATAGAAATGGTGGTTTTTTTTTTCTTTAGTATGAATACCTCGTTATTTCAATATGCTGGTATAAAAGATAAACGTGGTAAAACATGTCAAGAAGTAACAATTCATAAGTAATTTTATTTAAAAGAAAAAAGGAAACTAAATTCAATTCAATGATTTTTTGCGTTTCAGAGTATTACCAAATAAGTTTAAGAATTTAAATCAACGTTTATCAGCAGTGAAAGTAGGAAATTTTCAATTATGTCAAAATCCATTACGTCTTGGACAATTACAAGGAAATCGTTTTGAAATATTTATTCGGTAATTTTAAATAAAATAAATAAAAAAAAAAATTCTATATATTAAGTTTACATTAGAAATATTTCTATTGAATCAAATGAAAATATTCAAATTTATGTTACAAATTGGATAGAAAAAGGATTTATTAATTATTTTGGTTTACAACGATTTGGTTCACGTACATTAGCAACACAAACAGTTGGAAAGTAAATTATTTTCTTTTAATTTATTCATTTCTTTTTTTTTTTTGATCTTTTTCTTTCCCTCGAAGATATTTACTTCAACATGATTGGTCTCAAGCAATTAATGCTATTTTAGCATATGATGAAACAATAACACAAGAATGGCTTCGTAATTTATTAAATCAATGGAATAAAACACATGATATAAAAACAATACTTGATGGAACAATTCCATATCGTCGTTCAATTGAAGTTGATCTTCTTCGTGGTTTACAAAAACATGATCAAACCAATTTAATTGGAGCACTTTCATCAATACCACGTAATACACGTTTACTTTATTTACATGCATATCAATCAATGATATGGAATAAAATTGTTTCAAAACGTTTAATAACTTATGGTAATGAAATACTTATTGGAGATCTTTATATAAATGATATAACTAATGATACAAATGTTTTCTATGTCACCGAAAATAATCGAAATAATATTAAAATTGAACAAATTGTTTTACCATTACCTGGCTATGATATTAAATATCCATTAAATGATATACATTCATGGTATAAAGATTTATTAAATGAAGATGGAATAAATATTGATCAAATGAAATATCATGTTAAAGATTATAGTTTACCAGGAAATTATAGACAATTTATTGTACGTCCTGGTCAAGTTGATTATCGTATTGTTTATTATGATAATATAAATGAAGATCCTCTACAAAGTGATTATGATCGATTAATGAATCATAATAATAGTAAGAAATTAGTTTTTTTTTCTCTAATTTATTATTTATTTATAGATTTAAAATCAGAATTAAATACATATAAAGGATTAATTCTTGCATTTTCATTACCAAAATCATCTTATGCAACAATGGCATTAAGAGAAATATTACATCGAAATGAATCAAAACTTCAAACTCATCATCAACAACAAGAACAATCATCATTAACAAATGAAACAATAATTAATCAAGAAGAAGAAATTGAAGAAATCGAAGATGTTGTTTTGTGATATTGTTTTTTTTTGTTTTAAAAAGGAAATTAATAAATTTTTTCGATCAGAAAAAAAAACGGAATCATTCTGTCTATTGAATCTTTAACTAAAGCCTACTGAATCAAAAACTTTCACAACTCAAATACATATTTTCACCTAACAGAAATAATTAAAGTTTTCTCTAATACTCTTCATTACTGAACTATATACAAAATGAAATATTACAATAAGCGAAATCTCATCTATGTGTTTTTATTAAACAGTTAATTTCTATGAAAATCAGCATTAGTTAAAAAAATGCTTTTAAAAATACAAATGTTTTAAAACCGATCATGCAAAAGTCAATAGCACGTTTTGTGTAGATCAAACTTTGCCATACAAAAGTGAACCAATTAAAACTGATTCACAATTTGAATTTGATAGGTTTCAATCGAAATACAAAAAATAGTATACTGTATAATTACTAAATTTCTTCCTGCCATAGAAGACCCTTCCCTTTGAGAAACGATGAGTAAGACGTAATTGGAAAGTCATCTTAATTAATTTATTTATCGCAAAATTGGAACTTTAATTAGCATATTCATATCAAAATATGCCTAATTCTCAGGATTTTAAGCTGAAAAATCTTAAAAGACTGAGGTTAACATTCTATTTCTGGGCTTTTAAAATTTTCTTTCCAAATACCCCAAATCGTTGGGATTTTTTGAAAAACTCTTTTAATTAAAAAATATGAAAGTAAATGAGACATCATAGAAGATCTGGGGTCTTCTACTGGAAGGAAGCATTTCATTTTAGATATTTTCAAATAATCTGATGATAGGCGTTCAATCTTACCCTAGAAGAAAATTCTGAATACATATTCGGAAAGAGCAAAAAAAGGTCTAGTTCTAACAAATACTCTTTAAGTAGCCGAAAAATGAATGAATATTTTCTGCCAAGTCTTTCGCCCCGCAGATTATGTGAAGTTTTTCATCTTTCTATTTAACTTAAGGTTTTAGAATATAATTAACTACTATTTTTTGTTGGTGTTAATAGTAAAGTCTTTTTTTATGAGTAATATTATTATTTTATACTAAAACAAACCAAAATAAGTTCTATGTGTCTTTGTTTATCAGATACACATTATCTCAATTAACATTTTATTGTCTACAATATGTCTTCGTAAAGAATTCAATTATTGAAACCAATATAAATAATAATTCAACATAGAATCATCAACTTTTTATTAACGATATTTCATAATGACTTCACAAAAAATATTAACATATTCAGAAAGATTCTATTATCATTTCTATTTTATAACATATTGATTATGATAAATTATTTCTGCTATTGTAGAATCATCCATCGGTCAAGTATATGTCTTTAACACAACATGTTTATCTATCTCTTTAATGAATTGATCGGTCATGATGATTGCACATGTCTATTTATTTAGTTAATCTTATTTTTTCTGCTTTGAATCCTTCTTAGAATATTCCTATGCATACACTTCTGTTATATATATATTCTAAATCAACAATAACTATCAAGGTAACGATTATAACTACAGATGGTTTAATGATCAATATACTGGTAAATACTTTCGATAATCAAAGCATATAATTGATAACCATCTGTCTGTAAGACATAAAAATACATCAACGTTTATTCAAAGAATAATTCATCTAAGTTTTCTTTGTAATTGCAAAAAAATGATTGTCAAATTAAACATTTAAAAGTACTCATTAAAAATAAATACAATATATCAACTTTAACATTATACATTAAAATATCAACAATTTTTCATATCTATTTTTAAGCAATAAACTACAAAGTGATATTCTTCTTCTTCTTCAAAAAGACTTCTTCACATACCGACATCATTCAGCAACAAGAAAACAAAAAAGAATCAATAAAATCAAGCTGATTCTATATGCAAAATTCACACTCACACTCTATCTATATCTATATATATATATAAGCAAAGCATCTTATTGACATTCGTCTATGTGTATAGTGACATGTTATTTGCCTCTTAATCCACTGAATTACATTCTAAGTAAAGAAAAAAAAAAAAAAAAAAAAAATATATATATATATATATGCATGTAAAAGTTAAATGCTATTCTTTGTCTTCTATCAAGATAACATACAAAAACAGTGTCGTCACACAATTTTATTTTTGATTTAGTAGAACTAATGAATAGAATGGACAGAGGCGAGAATGTATACGATTGACAAAAATGAGTTAGACTCATCTAAAGTAGATGGGAGAAATAGATATGTCAAAGTGTCATGTTGTCACAGCATATGCATACTACGCCTTTCGGCAGATGTTTGCACAAATCAAAAAAAAAGGACTCATTGAACAATCTTCTTCAATTCATTACATTTCTTTTACCTGTGTTCTTTCATTTTTTTTTATTTCGCTCGTGCATATACAATTGATGAGCGCACGCGAAAATTTTGAATATTTTTGTCGCGACGATAGTTGAAAGAAGGCAAGTGCGAAACAAGAAGAAGAAGAAAAAAAGAAGAACGAAACGAACGAACAACCTAACTCTTCGTTTTTTGTTTGTACAGTAGCTATAGCAGGCAAACCATCGTGTCATAATAATTTTTGCTTTCTTTCTCTGACGTTCACAACAGTCGTCGTTGAACGAATATCATTGTGCCTCTATTCATACATTCGTCCAGTTCGTTTTCTTAGTTAGACATTCTTCGTCTCATTCTCTATATCAGAATTTTCTATTAACGAATTCTGGAAAAACAAAAAAAAAACAGAGATCTATTAAGACACAGAAAATTCCATATTTACACTATGACAATAATTAATAAAGGTAAATTTTTTTTTCAATATTCTTCTAATCACATTTGATAATACAACCAAAAAAAGAATAAGAACAAGTTCATTTCTATTAATATATATAGTTTCAAGCTAAACATGCATGCAACCATATCCATACGTAGTAACAATCTTATACTATTATCGTTAATTAGGTGCCTTTTTCTCTATCGCTACCGTCGCTCATTTTTCTCTCTCTCCCTCTCTCTCTCTCTCTCTCTTTCTCTCCCGATAAGCATACAGTACTCTCATTCATTGCTTATAAATGAAAAAAAAAGACTCTCATCATTTTCCCAAGCTGACTGCATCATCATAGTAACGTACCCATTTGTTCATTCTTTTTTGTTTTTTTAATATTTGTATTATTTATATCGAACTTGTCTCTTCAATGAGATACCATCTGTTCGTCTTCTCATTTATTGCATCATAACTTTTGAGTTACAGTACATATATATATATATATATATATATGTATGTGTGAGTAGTTAAAAATTTGTTAAAAAAGAAGAAAAAAAAAAAATGAAAGCTGCTTGCATATTTCCGCTTGATTAGCTTTTCTCGTATATGCACTTAACATTGATGATTGTAAACCATTTTTCATGTACGTAAGCTATTTGAACAATGTTTATCTGTTCACGCCCAAGGTAGAGTCACCGCACTAATCCAATTATCTGATTTCATTTACTGTTTTTTTTCCCACTCTTAATAAATAGCTGTCATTTTTTCTATTTGTTTCTCTATATACATATTGAAAAGAGAAGACATTATGACTATTAAATTGATCTTGAAATTTATCAGTTATATTACAGGGTAAAATTATTTATTTTATGTTGGCCTTTTATGATTATTTCTTCAATGTAACAAATGTTATTTCATCTTCTTTCTTATTCTTTTGTTTTTAAAGTTCGAGATGTTATCTTGATAATCCAGTAGTATATACATCATTTTCGCTCTTATGTTTTATGAAAAATGACAGAGATTTATCTTCCCTCCCCTCGTTTTCTTATTTGATACTATGGCCGAGACACGAGCACATTCATAGACATGATGGATTGCTTAAGATGTTTTGTATTCATTCATCTACTGTTCTATCTAGAGTGTGTGCCGATACTCAGTTGATCACACGGAAAGAAAATTCAACAACGAATACAATGATTCCTCAACAGCAACAACAACAACAGCAACAGCAACATTCTCGTTCATCGACTAGTGATGATGATTCTGGTTGTGCTCTTGAAGAATATGCATGGTGTCCACCAGGCCTTAAAGCTGAACAGGTATATATTTAATTATACTAAAGAAAAAAAACTCAACTTTATTTAAATATAATTATTTTAAGGTTCGACAATTTTTTAAATGTTTTTCCGAAGATAAAGTACCATTTCTTAATTCGATTGGTGAAAAATATCGAACAGTAAGTTATTCTATTGAAAAAATTAGTTTTTTTATGAATTTTATTTTATTTTATTGAATAGAAAATGCTTGAAATACAACTACCACCACAAGATTCAGATGTGAAATATTGTCGTTCATTGAATGAAGATGAAAAAAATGAATTACGAACATTTAACGAACAACAACGACATAATGCATTTGGTCGTGGCATTGCTAAACAATTACCACTAACACAATCTCCTTTGCCATGTCGTGGGGTAAATTGAAGAATATATTATTTCTTTTTTTTTTACTTGTACATCTATGTTACCTCGAGGAAAGATTAATACATATATACATGTACAAATATATATTACGAAACAAGAATAAAAATGGACAGAACTTAAAAGAATATGTATCATTTTTCGAAATTTGACATCTGAGGACAAAACTAACTGATGAAATTGAAGCTTTCGAGCGTATAAAAAAAAAGATGAAGCATGATGTAAGAAAATCACTATCAAATGATCAGCTAGTTAATTGTGTACAATTACAACACGAAAGAAACAAAAAAAAACTTCTTCGTTTTTTTTTAATGCAAAGTTCATTGATTAGAGTGAACAGTAAGTGTGTATGACATTTGCTGTATATTGGATCGATAGCACTCAGTGTGAAATCAAAAACAGATATTCTCAATCGAGATGATAATAAATAAATATAAGACAAGACAAACAGATGTTTAATATTATAAATAAAAATTATACATATATATATATATATATATGTGAATATGATTGATATTCATTTTCGTTTTTTTTTCATTTTAGTGTCAAAAGTTAATTGATTCAGGTTCAATATGTATTTATGTTGAACGAGCTGGTCGAAATGGTTTGTGGCATCCACAATGTTTTAATTGTATACAATGCAAAGAATTTCTTGTTAATTTAATTTATTTTCATAAAGATGGTCTACTTTATTGTGGTCGACATCATGCTGAATTATATAAACCACGATGTACAGCATGTGATGAAGTATGTAGAACGAATTAGATAAATTGTTAAATAGAAACAAAAAATATACCGGATAGATGATTGATCAATGAGAATAAGACGAGAGAACAGTTGTCGTGCAAAAAAAAAAGAAAGAAACTATAATTGATTATATAATCATCATAGATAACAATGTAGGTAGGCATTTGCATGCATAAAACAATGAAATACTATTAGTTGCCTTTTTTCTCTCTCTTATTTTTCGACAATACACATACATATGAACAGAAGACTATTATCATGTTCACATAAGGTATACAGTGATGACAAGTTTTAAGTATTTGTATTATTGACATGCCAGACGTACATGCATATGTATTTGTTGAGTATGTATGTTTATGAGTCGGACTAGACGATTTGTTTGCCTCTTCGGAGTATTGTGAATACAGTGAGAATAGTTGGGTAATAGATCGTCGACGTTTGTTGATGTCGATGATGATGATGATGATGATGATGGTAATAATCTTGTTGTATCAGATTGACTACCGTCGAACGACATAAACTAATTGTTCTTTTTTTTCTTTTTATTTCCATTTATGTTAGATTATCTTCAGTGATGAATGTACCGAAGCTGAAGGTTATAGTTGGCATATGGACCATTTTTCTTGTTCCAATTGTAAAAAACGCTTGGGTGGAGAACGTTATGTTATGCGACAAAATCAACCATTTTGTTTAAGTTGTTTTGAAACAATGTATGCAGAATATTGTGATACATGTGGTGAACGTATTGAAACTGATCAAGCACAAATGGCACATGAATCTCAACATTGGCATGCAACTGATGAATGTTTTTATTGTTATACATGTCGTATACCACTTCTTAATCGTGCTTTTTTTCCTCGATATGGTGCACTTTTTTGTTCAAATGATTGTGCATTACAACGTAATAATCGTTTTAATCATAAAAAATTTATTCAACAAGAAAAATTTGATAAAAGTCCTGATTTAATACCAATAACATATAAACAAACAAATCATCAACATGTTAAAGTTCTTCCTCCACGTCCAAAACCATTTCAACAACAACAACAACAACAACCAAATATTCGTACAATATCTAGTCGATCAAAAGAACAAGGTGGTTATGTATCTGATGGTGTTAATATTAGTAAATATAAACGTGATTATAATAATGGTTATCTATCTGATGGTACAGGTACACGAAAATATAAAAATAATCGTCAACAATTTCCAACAAAGTAAAAAGAAAATATTTGTTTTTTGAATTTTGTTTTTTTTTTTTTTGTAGTTTAAACTATGATAAAGATAAACCACAAGTATTTTTACAATTTCAATCATCACCTGAATCAATATTAAAAAATCGTCATCAAAATAAAATGTTTATAACAAATAGTCGTTCACGTGAACCAATACAATTTTACAATGATTTAAATCTTGAACAACTTGATCGTCATGGTGCAACACTTGAAATAGCACGATGTTCAACATCAAAATCATCACGTTCATCATTACCAGATTTAAGTAATAAAATATCTCGAATAAATTCAAATAAAACAAATCATTCAATTATATCTCAAGATACTTTAATTGATTCATCAATACCAAAAAATCGTTTAAAACATTTTGATTCAAATGAAATTATGTATCCAATATCAAGACCAAAATCAGTTGCTTTTTCAACAACAACAACTACCGCACAATTTCCACGTTCACGTTCATTAAATGGTTCAGGACGTTTTACTAAACAACATCATGTTCGTTTTGTTGATGATGACAAAGAGAAAAATATTGAACGTTCATCAGTAACAAATAATCGATCAAAAAAATATTATTTGTCATCATCATCATCATCGTCATCTTCAGATTCAGAAAATGACGATGATTTAGATGCAATTTATCGTCAATATGACATACATGGAAATCGAATAAAAAAACCAATTAATTATGGAACAAAAATTACTTATGTTGATGAATATGAACAAGGAAAGAATACAATTAATCCAGCATTAATGAAAAAACCAATGATAATCAATAAAAAAGATAACAAATCAAATAGTGGACGAAGGAAAAAAGATTGTATTATTAGTTAATTTTGTACAATTGGTGTTTTTTTTTTCTTTGAAAATAAATTAAATAATATGTACTCGTTATTTAAAATTATTCAATGTGTATGAAAATTTTGTTTTTTTTTTTTGTCTTTGCAAAATTTCTTATTTTCGCTTGTTTGTTTTGTGTGTGCGTGTGTATTTTAATACAACGAAATACAAGAAAAAAAACTTTGATTTTATTTAAAATTTGATATGAAACTTGTGTTAGAATAATCTTATAGAAAGAAACGAAAAGTCTTTTTGTTCACTAGTAGATTTCATTTCAATGCTACAATGAATTTTGAACAATATTATGAACAACTATGTTATGTATGTTGTATCATATGTAAGAAACTGTTGATATAATCATACCTTTCGTTCATATGATACTTAAGTTAAGACAAGAATACAAACACTTGAAATTCAATGAAGAATTTGAAGATTATCACATATATATGATATAAGCAAAATTAGAATTCGTCTAAAGATAAATTCGTACAATCAAAACAATTAAAATCAAAAGAGAATATCTATTGTTTTTTTAATTAACAATATCTTTTCGTTTCACTAAATAATTTACAAAACAAAATATTTTCATCTATTCATCCATATTTGTACAACCACTTTGGTTTGAATGATATTTTGTCGAACAACAAGCTTCCTTTTTTTTTAATTACAAGAACATTAATTTTTGTAGTGCACTTCCCTTTACAATCACATGTGCTAGCATCCTGCAACTGGGTCGAGTATTTGACAATTGATGAAATCTCGACATTTCAATGAGATGATCTCTTTTTTTTTTGTTGCTGTTTATGAAAAAAACTAAATAGTATACTTTTTCATATAAAATAAAAATTTGAAAACCGTACTGTGATTGTGAAAGTATCTGAAATAGTTTCTTAGTGCATCTTTAATGGAGGAATGTACTATTGGTCGTCCTAAAGATTTACATCTATTATACTATTTCAAATTTAAAAAATCTGTTTATTTAAATTGAGATCTTTATTCGATCATCTTCGATCATAATGAATAAAAGATAATATTTGAGAGGATTTTAGAAATTAGAAAAATTTTTTAAAAATTTATGCATCTTTTATTAAAAAGAGCTATCAGCATGATAACTCACAGTATATCATTTCCATAACACGTTTATTAAAAAACAACAACTTATAACGTGTTAATTAAGTTTCTCTCATAATTAATCGTATTATTTAAACTTTTTATTTATTTGTTACTAAGTAAATTTTTTTCTTATTCAAACTTAGTAATATTTCTGTTTATGATAATTATGTGGTAATGCATATTTACTCTCGATCGAGAATTGAACAGATTAAAAGAAATATGTAGTAACCAATCATAATGCCTGAAGTAACAATAACTTCTAATTTTGAATTGAATCCAATGGATTTTGAACCAGTTATTCTTCACATTTATTCAATTTCAACAAGAGTTAATCGTTTTTCTTTAATGTTTGGTCTTGGTCTTTATCATACAGCTGTTGAAGTCTATGGTAAAGAACATTCGTTTGTTGCTCATCCATTTAAATTTACTGGTATTGTTTCAACAATACCCAAAACTGCTGCTTATATCTATCAAGAAGGACTTGATATGGGACGAACAAAATTAAATAGGCAAACACTTGGTAATGTTTTGAAAGAATTAGGAAAAATATTTACTGGTAGTTCTTATCATCTTTTATATAATAAGTAAAAGTTTTTTTTATTGAAGAACTTGAAATTTTTATTTTTCAATATTTTAGTTGTAATCATTTTGCACATGAATTTGTTAAACGTCTTTGTAATGGAAAACTACCTGCATATATTAATCGAGCTGCTAATTCTGTTTGTTGTTTACCATTTCTTGATACAATGTTTAGTGCTAAAACAGATTCTGAAAGATTTTTTATTGAAGTACTCTATTTAACATGTAATGGAGATATGAATTGTGTTATTAATATACTTGATGTTGATCAACAAACTAATCTTTCACGTTATGTATCGTATATAGAAGCTTCATTTGAAGATCATTCAATACCTAAATGTCTTCCGTAAGTTAGGAATATAAATCATTGATCTATTTTCGCTTTGATAATTAATTAGCTATTATCCTGTAATAAAAACTTATAATCCATTTACACCATCGAAGTTAATTGTTGAAGTTATTAAAAAGAATTTATGTACAAATTTTATCTTTGCTCAATCGAAAGTAATTTAATGTGAAGTGTAAATCATGTTGAAATATATCTTTTTTATTATTATAAAGGATATATATGATTTTGCTTTTGATCTCTACGAAGAATTAAAATTAAGAAATTTAAATAATACTACTCTAACTAATTACACTGCAATAGTTATGTCAGAACCAATAATTGATCATGATATATCATCAGATGATGATTATTCAACTGATATTCATCGTTACTTAAATTATCTTCAACATATATTAATTCAAGCAATTGGACAAACTACAATATCTGAGAAACATATTCTTGAACGTAGACAAAATCAATTTTAATCTGTTTAGAAATGATTTTTTTATACAACAATTTATTCTTGCATCTCTGTTATTAATTTAAATATCTTTTGTTTTGTATATACAACAAAAATGATACATATTAATTTTGTACAAAGAAATCTTGCCAAGTATTAAATCAATTTTGAGATGCGTCTTACCTGGAGACCTGCAAATTGATCACATGTTTTTCTTCAACAAAAGAGTCTTTTTCTATCAGTTGGGAATGTCATTGCATATAATTGAACAGAAACTCGAATGACAACGACAATATCTCATTCTTCTGACTTACAATTGACTTGAGATCTACAATAATCTATTAGTTTCAAATCGACATTTTAACGGGATGTTCGATCACTACTTGATCTCTTACGTTATTCGTAAAGTAGATGACAAAAGATAAGAACGGATAACAGATTATCACTATTCGTTGTGTTTAATTTGTTATCGAGTTAGGTCGGTATCTTTCAGGGTGAGAATAGACATGATAGATAGTCTGTGTCATGACCCGTTCTTTAGTAGCGTTAACATTATTAGAATTAAAGAGTATATGGTTTCTTTTTATATTTGCTCGTACTATTTGCCAACTTGAACTGTTATCATCGTAATCATCCTGAACAGACATCATGATGCTCTCTTTTCATTCTACGCTGTGTCGAGAGAGAGGAATGCGAGAAACAATTGGCACTGCTGATTTATGGTATGCGTTCTGAAAATAAGGAGGAGGAGGAATATACAGTTCAGCCGTATTGATACAAATGGTCCATTGTCCAATATGGACTGATATGTTAACTATTTGATCAGAATAGGCAAAAGCATTTTGACGTTCATTCAAAGAACTTTGAAACTGATACAACTATTGAACATCGACATTATCCATCGTTGTGTACGCAGGATGATACTTATGGATTTGCTACATGATTTGAAACTGAAGGTTGAATTTGAAGACTGGCAGACGTTGGTTCTTCTGCCGTCACTGCACTTACAGACATATCTTTCTTGTATATCACAGACACCGATTCATATTTATCTCCTTCATTAATTTTGCCTTTCTGTGAAGCACAATCTTCGTCATCGTCTTCCTTTTTATCATCAGGTTTTCTTTTTGACTGATATGTAGAGATAAAAGATTCATATTTGTGAGTCTTCGTTTATGATTCATGATCATTATAATAAGATTTTCAAGCAAATTCTGTGATTCTTTCTCAAGTCATCTTCAAAATCGACCTTTGTATCCAAACTTTACACCAATAAACTTCATATTGAAATCAGTTCATTATGAAAATGCCAAATTTTCTATTATCTTCAATCTTTATCTATCAATATTGAATTAGAAAATCTAACGCTTTAATAATGGACTTGTGCTATTTAGAATTTTATGTACAGAAACCTTTTCCAGTTTAGTCTAGTCTAAATATGGCTTATAAGACTTATCTTAAATGTAATTTTTCATGTTGCGAGGTTTCTTCATTACTGAAATCATTCAAGTCAAACAAGTAGTGATCTCTCTTAATCATATATGTCGACTAGAGGATTGATTCGTCCAACACGAACAGAAAGAATAGAAAATTCAGCTATATATATACCTAAGAAAATTGATTTTTCTTCAACAAAAGTTAAATCTTAATCTTATATATATATATCATTTATCTTTTTTGTTTAGAATGGATTTAGTCGATAGTGAAACACTTTATTCTTTATTACGAAATAAATATGTTCTTCTTTGTGGTGATTCAATAATGCGTTCGTTAGTAACCTTAAATAATTTTAAAAAAATTTGTTGTTTTTCTTTTTGAAAAGAAACAAATATTTCTATTATTTAGTATTTATAAAGATATAATTTTACTTGTACAAGGACAAAATCGTTTATTAACAAATGATGAATTAAGAGCTAAATTAGATGATTATGATATGTTAACATTAAATGATCAATTATTAGCTGGTGATAAAAAAACAAATGATACATCATATTATGAAAGACGTTGTTATTTAACAAATACACATTTAATAAAATTTGTTTTTTTAACACGATGTTTTAGTGGACAAATGAGAAATGAATTACGTGAAATAGAAGAAAATAAATCAATTATACCAGATGTTATTCTTCTTAATTCTGGTAAAAAGAAATTGAATTTTTTCTTTATAGAAATATTTATTAAAAAAAAGAAGAATTTTTATATTTTAAGCTATTTGGGATATAACAAAATATGAGAAAAATAGTGAAAAAGATTATGCACAATTACTTGAAGAATGTTTTCGTTCTATACGTTCAATTATTCCACCACATACAATTGTTATTTGGCTTACAGCAGTAGATTTCTTCATAATTTTCATCCTTATTCTGTTTTTCTTTGTGATTTTTTTTCTTCTTAGACACCATTTTCAAAAGATGCTCGTGGTGTTTTAGATGAAACACGTTCAGAAAAGAAAAATTTTCTTCGTATAAGAATATTTGATATAAATACATTTTCATCTCAACTAGCAAAAAAATA